GAATTTACATCAGAGGTCTCCAAACTGGGGAACTTTAAGACTTGTGGACTTCAACTCCCACAATTCCCCAGCCAGCCAATTCTGGGAGTTGAAGTCCACAAGTCTTAAAGTTCCCCAGTTTGGACACTACCCCTGCACTAAATGGACCTCCTTAGGGGAGGGGACCCATAGCCTTCCTTCCCTCCCTCTCTGCTCTGGTGGGTCAAGTAGATGTGACGACGAAAGGATAGTCCCTCTGGTCACCTCTTCCCAAGCCATGAAGGACTTTAAGGGTGACAGCCAGCACCCTGGATTGGCCCCAGAAGCAAACCGGCAGCCAACGCAGCTCCTGCAGGGGAGGTGACACGTGTGCTCATCTAGACTGCACAAAGCCATGGGACCCACCACTTTTGGACCAACCGAAGCTTCTGTATACTTTTCAAGGGCAGTCCCATGTCGAGCATGTTGCAGTAGTCAAGACTGGAGGTGACTAAGGTATGAGTGACTGTGAGCAGGGACTGTTGGTCCAGGAAGAGACACAACTGGGCACCACTCCCTCCTGCAAGAAAGAGTTAATCACTACTAGAACCTACCTGCATGTCACCTCCCAAGAAACTTTCACAAGCCAGAAGGCGCATGGATGTAAAATACAGTTGCTCGTGCTCATACTCCCAAGATCCGTAGTGGAGAACCTATGGCATGCGTGCCGGAAATGTCACGTAGAGCAGAGGTGGGTTTCTGCCGGTTTGGCCTGGATCAGGCGAACCAGTAGGGGCAGCGGTGGGAGGCTCCACCCACTCACCCAGACGCTTCTGCGCATGTGTAGAAGCATCATGCGCGCACAAGCAAGCCAGTAGTTAAAAAAATGGAAACCCACCACTGACGCAGAGCCATCTTGCGTGGGACCGGTGGCCTCGCTGGCTCCTCTTCCATGTTCCTGTGCACACACACACACACAGACACAAACACTGACCAACTGGCCTTTGCGCATGCGGGAGCACCAAAATCTGGAAGAGCAGCATTCTGGTGCGCAACCGAACATCCAGGTTACCATTGTGTGCATGCATGACAGCCAGCTGTTTCTTGGGCCTGTGCCCATGCCAGAAGGCAGAAATTTGGGTGCTGGCACACACAGTCAGGGGTGGGTTCCTGCCAGTTCTAACCTCTTCTAATGAAGAGGTTCCATAAATCTACTGTGCCGTTTAGAACCGGTTCCAGATCCCTCCCCTCGCCCGTCCGCACATCATCAAGATGAAGAATGAGAGGAGGAATTCTGGGAGTTGAAGTCCACAAGTCTTAAAGCTGTCAAGTTTGAACACCCCTGCACCCCTAACCCTTTAGGAAAAAAACCCCAGGGGTGTTCAAAC